AATTTTGATCACTGATCAGGTTAAACGCTGGTGTTGTAGTCGCGTCACTTGTAAACCAACAGTTGGAATCTGGTTGGAGCTTTGTTTAAGTTGCTTACTTTGGATTCGAAACTGCCTGCATTTATTGCTATATGGTATTAGCGACGATTTCATCATTAGGGAGACTTAAGAGGTTTCCGATTGCTTAACTCGTTGAAACATCGTATGCTTCAGTATTCTAAGCGTAAAGCGAGTATTTTTGATGAGTTTTGAAGAGGAGCCGTCTTTTGAACTATTAAGCGTAAGCTGGGCCAAAAAACAAGGTGTGTCAGTATGCAGTAAAACGAACTGGTAGGCGATTGATCGCTAGACCAGAGGTAACCATTTTGCAGAGCTGCAGGACCTTTCTTTTCCCATCAAGAAAAGTTGGCAATTGTCAGTGACTGTAAGAAATGAGCGACTGCGACAGGCGAGATGTGTACGTGTTAACGTGGAACGAACTTAAAGTGATTTTAAATTCTGAAACCGTGTGGAATAGTTGGATGGAGGTTCTTTAGCAACCTTACGATACGAGCGTTTTGCGTGATACGTTAATGAACAATGAATAATCCGTTTTGACAATAGCCTCCGTCAGGCATCGATGATAGTTGTCGAAATTTGGATTTTAGACAGGAGAGGAGCTACGTCTTCCGTCGGTGCTCAGTGCTACACATGCATGCATATGCTTCATCGCGAAGTCGTTTAGGGATGGAACAGGTTACCATGCCGATGACGCATCAGACTCTCAGGCTGAGATCATGGGTTAGACTCCCGATGAGGTTGCTCGCCTTTCAAAATAGAAAACTGAGTACCATTCCCATTCCCTTTGAAGAAGTAAGTAGACTCAGCATAATAGAGGCCACATAGTCGTAAATATATAGAAGACGATAGAAAATAATATATTTCGAAAAACAGCAACTAGGCACCTTGGCACTTTTTTGACTTAGGGCAGAGCAGCGAAAATTGGCGCCGCTTCGCAAGTAAATGAAGAATATCACAAAGGGTGCCAGATCACGAAAATAAGATGGCAGATATCCGAACGATTACGCACTTTCATTTTAACCTTTTTGTGAATGGACTTCGGACATTCCTTATGCGGATTGAGTCCAGCAGTTTTCTCTTATGGAGTTAGGAGCAGTTCCCTTCGTGTTCGACTAATCATTGTCTTCCTTGCAAATTCTCTTATACGTTAATGATGGCAGAAATAATGGAAACAGCGTTAGCAAATATCTATAACTAAACGAGCGTTTTTGCAGTTGGGAGTGAATGATGCATTTTCATTGAAAACTAATATCGGAGGGTTTAGATAAGATGGTTTCGTCCTCACTTCTGATGCCGGTACTCAGCGAGATCGGTAAAAGATATCTTAACGGAAGGCTTTGTATCGATGCAAATGGAATTTGCTGTTAAATTACTTTTAAGCAACAACAGTAACCTATGCCTAATTTCGTTAGAATTGCCTCGGCAGTCATGTCATCTCGTGAATGATGCCGATATGCCGTTTTTTAGCGCTTGCTGTTTTTGTCGAGTTTCTGTTTTACTGCGCGCATCTGGGAAACTTGTTTCGGCGTTCTGACCATTTCAGTACTTCGTTTACAAAATTCACAGGAGGGCTTACTTAGCTCATCATTTAAATCTAGCGTGTTAAAAATCTCCTTTTAACTGATTTACGTAATCGGTTTAAATTGGCATCTTTTTACTTCAGGTTTTGCACGTTTTTACAGGATTACAGAGGGAAATAGCAGATACAGAATTCATTCACGTAGTCACGGATAAATTAAAGTTAAATTACGCGGTTCTTTGTGAATCTTAGGCAACGTAACGTCTTCTATTCGACTGCCAAAGTAACAAGAATTCTGTGACTTTTAAAAGATAGACATATTTAGATAAGGCAGGCATAGAAAATGCACTACTAAATTCTGCTTTATGCAGCAGTGTTAGATTGATTAATACAGTCAGCATTGGGTGAAGAGGTACCGCAATGCTACCACCTCCCATATTTACCAAAAGGGCTTGGTTCAGCTAAAGGATGGTGCGAATTTTTATTAACTGTCAATATCATTTCGTAAAGGGTTCATTGCGCTGTGGTTTGAGGCAAGAATTGTAGCAGTTAATGTGATCATGTGGTCACGATAGAGCTTATGAAGCACAGGTTAATGTTAATCCTGTTCGAATTTTATGATCGTGATGCGATGATCCCCTGACAAGCTGACGTTTCATCAGCTCAGTGCAACCTGTAAAAAATTTCACGTCAGGATTACGAAGAATAGTAATGAAGCGTAATAAGATTCAAGCTTCGTTCTGATTAATGTTCGAATCGTCTACTTCCCGTTCGAACTGTTTGGATTTGCGCTACCGATTTCATTTACAAGGTTTCCAGATCTCTATGCTATTTTTTTCTTCTGTCGTATGGCTGGAGGACATGACTAGCAACTTCACGTATTCATGTATGCTGTTAAAGATTATGATATATCTTATGATAAGCCAATTTTGTTCTTCCGTTCAATTTTTCAAACTATTTGCTGCAATTTATCGATGTCGTGTTACGTCGATAATGCTGTACAAAACTGCATGCCGTAGACGAAAGTTGCGTTGGTGCTGGTGCTGTTTCAAAAGAATTTTTAACGTTCGTTTTACACGCTTCTTATCTGAACTACTACTGTTCTTATCTTCATCGAACAATAAATTCCGGAAATTTACTTTTCATCCCTAAATGCAGCGAATTCAGTTTGTTTGAAGCAGTGATGACGTGGCACTTGCGTGCGTCTGTTGAACACTGTAGAAATTCCTGTTATGATCTGATCTGGAACGAAAAGGTAAGTACTGGCTTTACAGCTTTAGTAAGATGCGTTGAATCAACATTTGTTAAGAAATGCGATGTCGTCACTTAAATGATTCTGCACCAAAAATTTTTAGTCATCCTGAATTATGTTTTAGGCACCCTGTTTGAACGTTGCAAAACTGGAATCTTGTGTTATATTCTCTCCTTCTTGGAAATCTTTCGTTAATAACCTTTAAATGAAGCTGCTTGCCGAACTCACAAATTCTTCACCACCGCTTCATAATGATTATTAAATAATGGCCTTAAGCTGAATAGTTTGGCCATTAATTTACGTTCGCTGGAATGGGAGAGATTCACAATCTTGAAAAGGGCAGCAGTTCCTGCCAGTTCAGCGAAGCTTATTGTGAATAGCAAAGATAACGGAATAAAATTGATGACATTGAAGGAAATTTATTAAACACATTAAACAAAAATTGAACAAATTAAGCACGACGATACAGTAGTATAAATTATGCAGAACTTGATGTAAAGTAAGCAAAATGTCAAAGAAAAGAATGTTACATAGTGACTAAATGTGATGCTCATTTTACGGGAAATTGCTGATGTTTCTTCCTTCTGTAAGTTACTGTAACTTCCTCATTGTATCCGTTCATTATTTTTTGTAGTTTGGTTCGCACCTTAACAGCGAACACTGCATTTTATACCGTACTTTGTAACAAAAGATTCTGACGTGCTTTAAACAACGGCGTAGTTCGCGTTTCGTTATTGATACTGACGTTTGCGTTAGTTTATTGTTGTATTATCGCGAAGGTGCTAAAATTTTAGTAAAGTATGCATATTAGTCATCGCCATTTTGGCAATAATTATTACTGTTAGCAGAAATGGAGGCTATTTCAGATTCGTGGTCAGTTAAAATCAGTAAACGTGTAAAACATCAGAATTGAGAATTAGTGATTTTATCTTTTTTGATCACAATTGTCCGTAATTTTAAGAGCCACTTTTTCCTGTCACAGGTAAAACTTTATTTGTGCAGCTTATGTAACGCGGTTGTGAAGGATACTCGTTATTTCTCACGAACTTGTTCACCTCGTTTCCTATTTTAGGTTTTTCTGTCTCTATGTGAAATAGCTTCCATCACCATAAGATAAGTAAGGATTTCATTTAACGTTCATAGCTGGCGTGAACGAACCAGAGAACTCAATTAAGTTCGGCCTTCGTGTGGTGGCTTTTCTCTTGTACACACAGGAGCGACATTACGTGCAACGCACCTAGACATCGGCGTATGACTAATAGCGCGTTCGATCGCTCGTTCGGTCGTAAGAGTCAGTCGGCCGTTGACAGACCCATGAAGTCGTTTCCTTTCGCAGAACACATTAAGCCACTCCTTTTCACGAGCCACTTGCAGACGTTGGTGGTACACGCACTTTACGGAAACGTTTTTTGCAAAAAAGTTCGTTCTGCTTCATTCTGACTTATAAAACTAGCCGATGTAGCGGTCATAAGATTTAGGACCGAAACGACCCAGATTTTCGTATGCCATTAATGCATCGTATGCATCATCGTGCCGCTGGTCAGCGACATCATGCCGGCCTGGCTCGGGACCATGAGGTTCTGAAAGCTCTTGTCGCGTGAGGAATCGCGGCAGTTGATTGAAAGCAAAAGCACAACGCATTTAATCTGTCTTAAAAATAAGGCCGAACGATGGAATAGTGTCTTGAGCTTTCGCGGCACCGTCTCTGATTGTGAATGGACCGCTTTAGAGCCTGACATCCTCCTTTATGTGTAGTCGCATCAGTGGCAGCAAATTAAATTTCGATTTTCGATCACACTTTTAGATTATATTTTGTTTGTAATGAAGTAGAAGTTTCTCGGCGTGACTTTTGACAAACTGAAAAACGGTGACTGTTCAATCGAAAGGTGTTAAGAGTTTCATCGTTCTAGGGCGGACTTGTAAACGACTCACTTTTTAGTCACCTCTGTAAGTTCGTTATTTGCTGTACGTGTCGGCGCTGTACGGCGGTGGTATTGGCAGTGATGCGGTTTACAGCGCTGAAACCGCGGTTTATTGTCGTCGTTAGACAGACTGTGTATTTGCACCGTTGCAACGTCCAGTCAACGAAGATCTGTAGGGTAAACAGCGTCACGAATGTTTTGTCATCCTCTTAACTCTGTTTACCGGACGGTAAGGTATTCTTTCGGTCGTCGAAGAGGTTCGTTGCTCTTTAGACGACCGCCGCACTTCACCGTACTGAACATGATCGACCTACCAGGCGGCGCGCGTCTTTCTCTCACTGACTCGCTGAGCGTGGGAATGTAGAGGAAAGTGACTTGCTCGCCCGACGCGTCCGTCGTTTTGTGAATCGTCGTCGTCTGTTCACACCCCGCTATACCAGGCGACCTACCTCACTCGTCATACAGACAGTTGGTGCTCGCTCGCGTTATTCGCATGGTGTGAATCACTTGATGCGGTTTTTCTTCAGTTCCGTCTGTGTGCGCCGAGAGGTCCCAGCTTTTTGTGTCTCAATTGATGCCGGTCGTCGTCACTCGGTCTTCAAACACCTTTTCCGCGTGCATGTCTTTTTGCTTCTGATTGTTCGTTAGCGTATTTATCTGACCGCCCTGCGTACAAAGCTGCTTGTTCGCCCTCACTTCGGTCTGTACGAAGTTGAACTATGACGTATCAATGTGTTGTTGGCTGTCATGCCACTTCTTCTTGTTCGGACCAAGCGTTGATAACTTCGAAATCCGAGCTGCGGCCAGGCGAGGAGGAGCAGAAATTCGTTCCCTCAGTTGCCTTCGAGTGGGGAACAGGCGGGTTGGGCGAACTAGGGCAACGGTTCAGAACGGTAAAGGTCGATACGCGGTTTCATCTACCGCACCATGTCCACCGCAGACGTAGACTCGTCGTTTTCTGTCGCGTCCGACCCTCGACGACAGCTGCTTCTTAAGCCTTAACGACGCAGCACATTAGATGCGCGCGGCGCGACGACCGTTTCGGATTTACTAGTCGTAACGCGGCAACAAGTCGAAATACCGTCGTTCGCCGAGGTAATTCTGACGAGTCAATTTGAAACGCACTGCCTTGCTCGCTTTCATAACGACCGCTATCGAAACGCGCTTTAAAAAGTATATCGGTTAACTGACAGCCATAGATCATTGCTGGTAGCTACTTCATTTTATCCACGGATAAACCAAACCCTATACTTATCAGAATAAATGGTACGTCTTCCAAAAGAAATTTCAAGCGGAAGCGAGGCACTAACTTGAAGAATACGGTCAAGAAGCAAGGTCCGATGCTAGTTTTCTGTCCCAAAGATGGCCGCTGTTGTGTGGCCAAAACGTTGACGACGGTGTAATAAAAGTTTCGTAACATCAGTGTTCGGTTGTCTTGCGCCAAAATCTACTAAATGGAAAAATTAGATTTGATTTGCGAGTTCGTGGCGTAGAATCAAAATTAACTTTCGAAATCAACAACGTATTTCAGTAGACTGTTTACGAAATCTTTTTTTCAAATCAGGTCTTTGAAACTTAAATTTAAATAATAAGTCTTCAGAACAAGTTCTTCTGTTACAGTGGGTAACGACGAAAGTTGAAAGAAGACGACTAAATTAATTTTAAGGCTTTGATCACGATAACTACACAGTCTGTCACCAAGAAAATTAAGAAAAACAAGACAATTACTACGATAAGTGCTATGGGCACATATACAAAAATATTTTGCTAAACCCATGTACTTCTGTTCGTACGATTAGGTTAACTGTCGGCTTAAGCGCCATGAGGTGTCGTTCTAACGATGATTGTCCTTGAAGTCGGCTGACAGACCAGAAAAATGCAGACCTTAAAACGCTCTCTATCCATATTGAACGTTAAGAAATGCTCTAAGCAGCGATAGCTTCACTATATTCTCCGGGGAGCGTAATCAGCCGTAAGGTTTGCGGCGATAAGCAGTATGAAGAAGAATCTGCTGCTGTGTCAAGTTTCAGCCTGATTTATAGCAAGATCTTGCGTATCAGATGATTAAGTTTAATTAAATAATTGAAACATCGATATGTTATATGAACTGCGAAATGACTGAGCTAATAAGGAAAGTTAATTGTGTTACCGGAGATCATCCTGAAGGCAGGTGTGTTCGAAACGCGCATGTAAATCGGGAAGAATCTGCTTTCCGAAATATAAGAAAACTGCGGTTGTCTAACAAATTCACGAACGAGCAGGTGCTGAAGAACACCGGTTTTGAGACAATTACCAAGGGTTATAGGTTAAAAGTTTTTTCGCGTGGACAATACTAAACTTGCAACACCTCGTTGAAGAAGATCTGACGACGAGAAATATGATTTGTGTTGCAGCAGTGAGCTTTGCGTAATTGCGACGTTGATGATTTCTATCGGTCAGAGGCAATGATAAAACAGCAACAATTTATTTCGGCGATCCTGGGTTCATTCCACCTCATATCCACGGTACAAATGAAACGACGATAGCAAAATTTACAATGCTGCACGGGGGTTTGACGCTGATACCGGCATTGAGATTATCCGCTTGCTTCTACTGTTAAAACGGGATATTACGATCTAGGTTAAGTCACTAACAACGAAACGTTTTGGTTCGATAATGGAAAGGATTAATGGCGCTTCTCGCTGACATGATTTAGATCTTCACCAAGTGATCTGTTCTTGCTGAGGATGGGTCGAGTCTGGACGAAATGGATTGCCCCGAGCTTAGCTGATCGTTTAGTAACAGCCGCCTATTCACTTAGGTGTTTGAATTCATGGCCTCGTGTATAAGTAGCATAATCTTGAAGCTAAGTTGAATCCGAGCTTAATTCCCTCGCTAAAGTTGCCAAAGTTACATTTTTAGTATTTTCAGTATGATAGAAGTCTGGCCAGTAAGTTAAGGACATATTCTGCGCAGAAACGACACCCTGCCAGATTTTAGCATTAATTTGTTACGAAGCAACAAACGACAGAATTGTATGAGAAATGCCCATTTCAGCGTCGATGCCAGGGTTGGTTGGAACGAAGCTTGTGCTTCCTTACGGCGTTAAAATAGACTTATTGAAGCGGGGATCAGTGTACCTTTTGTATAGACTTGTGCGGCAGTAAATGCTGATAGCCTCGAGCGGATGAAAGTTTTCGAGAAGTGGTGAAGAGGGTGATGCTTTGAAGTAAATAATATAGAGTAGAGTCGCAGAGAAGTGTTGATGGCGCGGCTCAATAAAGTAATTGCACGTTCCTGCATATGAGTTGTTAAAACAACCAAGTAGTTAAAGGAAATAAATATCGCTGCCTGTTCAGGGCCCGCTGCTAAAGTTGCAGATGGTTTGCCGATTCACGGTTGAGAACACTTGGTGGTTGGTACCCTCACCATGAATCGGCAAGCCATCTGCGTTTCAGAGGGCTTGGGTAAGTTTGAAATTTTTTCTTTGACAAAAAGAAATTGTGGAAGTGGCGTAAAGATAGAGTAATGACACTGGCATTGTAGATAGAGTCTTTTGCTATATCCGCGAAGTTTCATAGCTGAAGTAATCAGGTTATCCTTTGAATATGCATGTACTCATGTCAGTTTAGCGGGTGTGAAATGTAAACACCAAGGTAGTGTTTTAAACAGCCTCGCATATTTCAGCTCCGGTTTTTTGCAGATAAGAGGAGGATGAGTTGGCTGCGAATACTCTGAAAGTTAACTTATTCAGCAAGATCAACAGAGAATACTGCTTTTCAGCAGGATAAAAGAAAATGAGAGTCTACCAAAGTTAAATAACCAAAATATGGCAGTGAGAATAACAGGCAGAAAAGACTGTCGATAAATCTGTGAACAAAGTTGTTGAGGTATTGTACATATAACCATAACTTTCACAAGAAACAGAATCTCATTAGTGTTCATATCTTTGAGCATTCAGGAATAATCGATTGTAATCGACTGACCTGTAGCGTACAGTACAGTACTTGCTGCTTGACGAATGGTCCGGATGATCAGCAGAGTGCAGCGCTGTTCGAAGTAAACAGAAATTCTCGACCGAATCTGGTACCTACTACAGAGTTCCAGGATTTGGAAAATTGACAGTTTTAACATCGATTAAAGAGAAAGTGAAGAAATTGCAAAATTGTTAAATGTCGTTTTAGTCAACAAAATTTTGACTTTTCGTAGGCCTTAACGATGATCATATCGTAGGACTGTAAATATGGCTATCATTTATAAATGCATAGAGCAGTAAGTGATACTGAACTTGAACTCTATGACTGTTAGGGAACGTCGATGATTAGTAAGTGAGGTTGACGTGCTAGTAACGGTCTGCAGGCGTAGAACACTTGGCTATGGATTCCTCGAAGAATCACGAACGCTAAATTGCTTGAAAGAGGGGCCAATTGCGTTAGTTTGTTAGAGTAGTTATTGGCTAGCTATTTGTCAATACCCTGACTATTACGATGTATTTAGATTGGTCTGTTCTATAGGTATACCATTCCATAATATCCTCTGACTCTCACTCACTGCGAGCGCTCGTAATTTTTGTCTTTTTTTGCGACAACATGTAGCTTCGCTTCGACGATCGGGCTCCATGATCTCAATGCCGAGAGGGGATGATGCGATTCTATGTGCCCTTCAGTTTGCCCGTTGGCTGTCTTCGATTGGCTGACTTCGCCGAGTACGTCTGCCATGCAAGTCGTTCATCTGTCACTCTAATCACATGCCCTAACCAACGCATTTTTGATCTCTCGATGTTGAACAGCAGCGTCTCATCGGTGAGAACATGCCACATTGCTATGTTTTTTGAATACTGTTCATCTACATCATGCGTCGACAATGCTTTATAAACTTTAAATCCGTTTGTTAGATCCACCACAGACTACCATGTACTTATGTACTTGTGATAAACATTGTAGGAAGTTTCGTTTGGTTTGCTATTTTGCTTAAGCACATGATGGAATGAAATTGATCTTTATACTTGGTCAGCACTGGTCTTGACTGCTTGCAACAGCAGTAGATAGGATTTTAATGCAAAACCGTAAACTTTGCAGGCCCAATACGGTTTTGGTTATTTTTTATGAATTATGGCTAAGTATTGCGCCCTTGAAAAATGAACTTTTGAAAAGGGAAAGGTCCGATTGAACAGTTTAATAGACTTTGGTAATTTTCCATGCATTTAGTTATAAAAATTTTTTAACAACGCCGAAAGTGGCCTTTGCGGATTGTTGATGATCGTGGCAGCCTCGAATACTTTCTTCGTTATAGTAGGAGATCGTCTATAGGTTTCTTCATAACTTGATCAGGTTTCGAACTAGTAGTTATTAAGTATAATCTGAACATAGTTTGTTCTAGAAGCTTGGAGGTTAAGGAATGTTTTGCATTTAATGAATAAACGAGTGATTGGGTCTGCCGGCTATAGTTTAATTAATCGACGTTCTTGTTTAAGGTGCAAGCCAGGTTTCGTTGGGTCCAGGTGCCAGCATCAGGATCCTTGTAAGCCGTCGCAATGTCAAAACGGTGGCATTTGCAGCTTTATGGTGGAAGCTGATGATTATGTTAATATCCAGTGCAGTTGCCCTGTGGGTAAGTCTTATTTCTTAATTTTAATTAATTTATTAGGTGTATTACCTAGCAGGTATTTTCACTGGGGTATGTAATTACTTATTTGTTGCGAATTCTAGCCCCTCTTAGACAGGAACGTGCGAATATATGAATTTGAATTTCTCATATGGTTAAGACGGCGGTCGGAACGCATCTCCTATTTCCGTTGTATGAAGTTTCGTAGCCGGCCTCAAAATTCCGAGGAACTCGGTTGAGACTTATTGATGGAACGTTTCACACTCGATGTAGCATTCTGGACGCTGAAGCTGATCTGAGACACTCATTAATCACTGACTGGATTTTTGTTGCTTTTTCGATCCTTTTTGGACTGGGATATGAAGATTCTATTTTGGATGTTTTGTGAAGCTCTTCGTAGGAGAGACAACGACAGACGACTCGTCGCGTATTCGCTGCCCGAGTGCACCTGAGACATAGTCAGTGGATATGCGTGTTTTTTCTCACGTTGGTTTTTCAGAGGCACCTTGCGTACGTGACGATTTTCACCCTAAGGTCGTGGGTTGCAACGCCAAAGTGAT